CTACCAGCCAACCTTGTCATGTGAAACAAGGTATATATGCTGTGTCTCGCGTTCGTTTTCAACACATACCAGAATATATTCCAACATCTTACCACAATAACAAGAGGAAAGCAGTTAAAATTTCCAAGTTAGTGCTTACTTTGTGACACGGTTTGATCATTTTGTGAATTGTACCCTAACCACCACCCAGCATCTCCTAATCCCTACAGGCAGATGGTTTTCTCTCTACTACAGTCAGGTATTGCTGATGGCGTCTGTCCACTTGATACAGAGTAATTTGCATATACGGTTGTTTATAGATACCCTTAATTTCCTGTTGATGATCGTGGAAGTCCTCCAAGTTTCAGCTCTGCACAATAACACTGTTTTGATGTTGGTGTTTGAAATTCTGTCTTTGATGTTGTGCGACAGTTGTTTTGAGTCCCAGATATTCTTCAATTGTAGGAATGCTGTCCTTATTTTGCCAATTCGTGCCTTCACGTTCTCACTAGGTCTTCGTTGTTCATCAATGATGCTAGCTAAGTACGTGAATGCTCCCAAGTCTTCCATCAAGTGTGATATGTTTGCTGCCTGCGTCTCATACGAACTTCTTTTAAAACTTTTGTCATTTGACCTATGGGATTCCATTGTCAGTCAGTCAGCTACAACGTAGGACCAGGCACATATGTGCATCGGTCCAGGTTGCCATACCTCATTAGCACAACAAGATGAACACCGGATTCATAGGAGTGGTTAGGGATTCCATTGTATCCTGGTGCAAATCTTTCATTAAAAAAGTAGCCAAATCGTCCATATGGATCTTGCTACTCTAAGCCTATGGAAGGAAGTGTGCTTAGCCCATTACTCTTCCTCCTACTTATTAACGACGTGTGTTCACTATTTCAGTACAGTGAAACTTCCCTTTTTGCCGATGACCTGAAAGTGGTTTATTCACTCTCGTCACCTTTCAAAGAAAACGATATTTCAGCGGCAACCCTAGAAGACACGCACAAGTTACACGAATGGACTGTGTCGTAGAATCTATCGGTGAGTGTTGGTAAGGGTGGATTCATTCACATTGGCAGAAGACTAAGCTAAATCTGGTTCTACACAAACACGTACTAAAACTCCTCACCATTCGAGTGAATGTATAGTACCAGTTTGGACTTTCCGAGCATATCACATCTAAAATATCCAAATCAAGAAAGCCGATTTTAGTTAACTGTTGTAGAATTATGATTAATTTATGTGTAAGTGTATTTATCTCTACTATCAGAAGAGTATACTTGTTCTACCATTGCAGACCTGTCATTATATGAATACCCAGCGTACAAGATTTTAAGTGGAAGCCACATCATGATCCGGTGAAACCCATGAGCGAAAATGGTGTCACCTAAAACCGTGTTAATGAAAGTGAATAGATCTGTCAGTCTCTCACCATTCTCGTTTCTCTCTCAGTCCATATCATCCGATGATGCGTCCACACCCGATGTTGGCGTTCAGATTTCCCACCAGAGTGGTGTGAATTTTTCGTGAACAGTTCTCTACAATCAACTACAGCCTCTCATGAAACCGATTGTACTCGTGTTCACTTTTATCAATTACGGGTGCGTGACACTGGATGATGCTCATAGTGATGCTATCATTCGTTCTTCTGAAGGATCACTTGATGGTCGTGAAGCCATGAGATTGTCAATCCGTAAGCGACTCTCGTATTTGTGTAGAGAGTGTCAGTGGGGTTTGTTGTGTTTGTTGGGCATTTGCTTTTCTGTGATGAGAATACAATGACAACTTTACTGAAGTCAGTCTTTTCTATCAAGCTTGTGTTCAACGGACTTAATTTACTGAGAACACGACCAGGTTGTATGTTCTCATTAGTGTGGCTATTTGGAAGACCCTATCGATCTTCCATATGTCTATATTAACTGTTGCAGTGGTTGTCATGATTCCTTCCGATAATGTTTGTATATCAGTTTCGTGACTTCCTAAGAATCTTAGGCTTCTCAATTAGGTGTCATTACTCTACAACTTTCAAATCAAAGCTTAAATATAATAATTGGTTTATTTTGTTTAGTTCGTCAGCAATGTTATTTACGAGGTAGGGCTGCTAATCGTACGATTAATCCTCCTGTTTTACACGGATTTAGAACCGATGACACCCGTCGAGACACTCCTGGCGTAGTTGTTAATATACGCATTTTTGTTTTTGTCTAATTTAGGTGTTGTTTGGTGATAATACCGTACTATAATGGTACCATTTTGTCGCATTGTGTAATATTGTACTCTATGAGCAGCAGTCAGTCTGCCGTTTTTTCTGTTCTTTTCGATATTTACTTGAATACATGTCATAGTAATTAATAATCCAATGCATAGACCACTGGGCTTGTTAATATTTTACATTTTAGCTTAACTAAATGTGAGATAAACAAGCATATTTACTGTGTGGTAAGATATTGTTACCTAATCGGTCGAATATGCATGAAATTCAGACGAATTCATGGTTCATACTTTAAATACCAACAGTTTGTCCTACTTTTATTTCACATGTTCAAATCTATTTTTGGTGTAGATGATTAAAGGTAGTCACTAGAAGTTTTATCAACTTAGTTACAAGCTTGTTCATGTTTTGATAGTAATTTCGCTCACAACTTCCCCTAGTCACTTGGATCTTTATCGCTATTCCAAGCTCGAGGAGATCAACATTGAGCTGTTATAACTAAAAGTTTAGTATATTTTCATAGGCATGTCACTCTGTACAGCCCTATAAAAATGCGAAGGTTTAATTTAATGTACTGTAGCATTCCTGTCATTTGACGTTGTTTTGTTGTTGTTTCTACACATATTGAAATGCCTAAATACTTTAATGTCCTCTCCAGAAACTAAATTTATAAGTCTTATCTTCTACATATCTGTCAATCTTCAATATGTAGCGTGTTGTGGAGGGGAGCAGTGACATCTAAGCGTGATACATCGAAGAAAAATAAATAAGGGCAGTAAATGTGCATTCAAAGAAACACTTAGAAATTCTTGAACAAAACTAATCTAAAATTAGTAGCGAGGACATCTCGTTGAAGTGAAAATATATGACATTGTACACACGTTTTCAAAAGTTGGGATTTTGTTCTCCCTTCGAACACGATTCCTATTACATGCTTTTTGGACTGCCTAGTAAATGTGATTCTGAATGTAAGAAAATTGAAACAAACATTAGTTGTTGTCTGATGTAAGAGTTGGTCACTTGTGTTCAGCTTGTAAAGCACTAAAAACACTACTAATCCCACTGATTTAAATATTGATGTTTCGATAGTCTTAAGTACCGGCTGATCAGTTTATTTTTGAAAATTGCTAGCTATTTCTGTGTATGAACTTGTCCAGTTCAAAACTAGATCACTCAAGTTAGACACATTAAAGATCTCTATTTCACAAATGTTGTTAAGATCAAGTCCTACTGAACTTTTTATTACGTCTCATTGAGCAAACAAATGCTGGACCGATTATTTTGTCATTTTTAAAGTAAAAATTGTCTGACCAATAATATTAGTTACGTTGGAATCGGAAACTGACTTTTTTCTTCAAGAGTTTTATTGTAAGCATTATTACTAATACAAATTTGGTTCATGTTGACCGATATACTTCAATTTGATTACCAACTGGATGCAATAACAATTGTGTAGTTGAATATTGGTTCGTATTCACTGTTCTTTGAAGTAATTTGGTGTAGCGTTACTAGTAATTGATTTTCATTCATTGCCAGTTTACCTACAATTAAAGTCTTGTGATAATAAAATCTACATAAAATCAAATTTCTCAACATCAAAGGTTAAATTACTCAATATTGAAACGAAAGGAACTCCCTTAGCTGGAAATAGTCTTTTTTGTCCTTTTCATCGATTACACATTGTTCTCCTTTACTTATTTATTCATTGGCAGTTTTATCTTTTTGTGTTGTCTACTATTTTTGTTGTCTAGTCATACCCTGGCGACTTCCATTTAAGTTTAGTAATAAATATAGCTCAAAATCGAATATATAAACGTGTATGTGATAGATGATTGACATAGGACATACTATTACTAATTTATGGTTTGATTAGCCTAGTTGAATCAATACCTAGTAGGTAAATTTAGGCTTGGTTACTAAGTTACATTTTTCTAATATTTGAAAGATGCTAACTACCGAAGAGAGATTCTAACAAGTTTGAAGAAACTGTCAAATTCTTTTAGATTCCCAAACTTAACCCAACTGATATTAGTCGTTGATGAAATTACTTTTCAAATTATTCATTTATATGTGACTATTTCACTGAATTTCACAATTGTCTGAATTTACTTGCACATCAAATCTTATTTCATCACCAAAAAATCATTGAAAAATAAATTGAACTCACATAGATCAGAATGTATTTTCTGCTGCACTGTCGGGACATATATTGAGTGATATATGAGAAATTGTTGACAGTCAGAAAAAATAGGATCTATTCAAATGATTAGAAATGTCATATTACATATGATAATTTTTACAAAATCCATTTCATTCGCTGTTATCATTTGTCTATTCGTTTACAATAGTTGTCGAACACAATTCATCACAAGCTATAATAACATTAATTTTAAGCAGAAATAAATGGTGGCTTGCAGTGGAATCCGAAATACACGTTTCATCATATTTGGAACCCTCCTGGTAGATGTACCTGCATCTGAGTTAATGTTCACTCTGCGATTCGAACCCAGTACTTTTCGCTTCAAATACCAATGCATTAACCCTACTAGCTACCGAGTCCAGAGAACTCATTCATACAATGGGTGATATATTCTAATTCAATTGATCAGTCTTAAACATCAGTGGGAAGATTCAAACAACCAATACTAATAAATTATTAGTAATTTTACTTCTTTCTAGTAGTTTGTGAGACATTTCCACAGTTTGTCTCTTTGTTATTTTGTTTACCCAATACTTTGATTAGTGTGTTTCTATTTCGTTTCAGGTTAATAATCTCTATTCGACAACAATAATACATTGAATAATGAACACTAGTGAACAAACCGTCGATCGACCATTTGTTACTACCGATGGAAAAATATGGCCAGCAAATGTTTTTGTACCTTGTAAAAGATACTATTGTATTAAAGTTAGTCGATTAGTTTTTTTGTTGTTTCTCATCCTGTTTTTGCTTATTGAATTTTTCTTAACATTAGCAGCAGTAGTTATTAACACTTATCGGTATGATAATTAGTTAGTTATACAACAGAGATAACCGTTTCATTTAAATTGATTCCCACTATATTCTCCCAGCAGCAAATCAGCATCTTATTTTCAGTCTTTTATGTGTCAGGTAGATATGTATTATTTGGGAGATCCGAACTGGGAACGAACAGCTTTTAATATTTAGTTCTAATTAGTTTTCCAACTGATGATAAGTTCGCAACAAAATTTTTCGGTCTTTCAAACTAACGAGAGAGCAGTTTCAGTTGTGACAATAACATGTATTTATCCGAGGTCGAAATGTACTACCCTATCAGCTCACACCATTCCACACAAAATCCCCTACTATGTTACTTTAAAAGAAAACATTCTGTCTCATACAGAACAACACTTAGATCAGTTATCAATTATTATTATTATTATTATTATTATTATTATTATTATTATTATTATTATTATTATTATTATTATTATTATTATGATGATGATGATGATGATGTTAAAGTGAATACTCACTTATATTAAGAATTTTACGTCAAATATAGACATAAGATTAAGCGAATTACAATCTCTTGATTTACTTGGCTGTAGGTACATACTCAGCGTCTTGAATGATATATGTGCTGTATTCAGATATAAAATTGATAGGTGCTAGTAATCACAAATTTTATAGTCATTGTTTTTAATACGTAGATAGTTTAGTCATTTATGTTTATCCTAACGATTAAAGTTGAACCATAAAATTTTCTGTCTGTTTTCAAGTGCTATCTGGGATACCACTATACTTATAGCCACTCGTACTCATTGCCTAATCGTGTTTACTAATCGGTTTTATAGATTCTTGATGGTGTTGTGCAATAGTAAGTTGTGATTGGCTAGTGAGAGAAGACAGACAACCAGCCTTGCCAGATTGCCAGGCGAAACGTTGGATTTACTCCAAATTCTTTCGCTGAGATTTTACAAATAAATTCTTCCTCTTTAGTGTCTCATATCAACTCGGTGCCCAATTACTGTGAAACTGTTCGATCAAATTTAGACGAAAGTTCTTTATTATTCTTTAAGACACTATTTAACATTGTGAATCCTTTTCTACTACTGATTTCTATCCTTGGTTTTACCGTGTGAGCCGCTTGTGTTTGTCTTAAATAGACTATCGTCTGGTCTATAATCTCGTTTTTAGTCGTTAGTCGTGAATCGTATGTGTGGGTGTGAATTGATCTGGTCTACTGATCTAGTAATCTCGTATCCGACATATGATATTATGTATCATGCCTAATCCATTAGCCAATGCAGTCGAACATCATGTGTTTTGTAGTTACCAAACCAATTATTATCTTGGCCTACGTAACGGCTTGGTTGTTTGATATTCACATAATCCTTAATGTCTATGAAATACAGGATGATAAATAGGTCGAAGTACATTGGCTCCACTCTTTCCATTTGTTTATTTCTTTCGTTTACTTGTTTCCCTGTTAAGCAATATAGTATAGATTTGAAAGCATAAAAAACAAACAATCAAGTACGTTGAATGAAATTAACACGCTAACTAAATCATTCTAACAAGAAGAATTTCCCTAACAGTAATAATTTGTCAATTTATGTTTGATTTTTTAGTCATATGTATTTTTGTCATTCAACTCCGAATGTTGTAATATTTACACACACGCAGATTGAATTTTGATTAAAAAAATAAATCAATTTGTGAAATGATGAAGTTGTTTGGAATTGAATTTCCAAGATGGCATATGTGCATATGCATTCGATATGACGCGAATTGTTTTATCTAGGTACTAAAACTAACTGTTATTATAACACAATTATATCTTCAATAACATTTTACAGTTATATACTTAACGTTTCAAAGGAATAGCTAAGTTTAAGCCGAATACGTCGTTTAAAATTACAGCATATGAATTTATGGAGATGGTTGTACGATATCATAGAGTGATTGAAGTTAGACATTAACACCGTTGAATTTCGACTCAGGGGTCTATAGATTGAGCGTTCAGGTATGAGACCGAAGGTCTTGGGTCCGATTCCTGCATAGTTTAGCTAATTAACAATTATACAGTAAAAATCTATGTATCGTATTGGTCCATAAGTAGTTTTCAAAAGTTACCACTCATATAACAAATATGAGTCTTGAAATATTTGATGGACAGAATTTTTCTTTTCATTTACGAAAAATTATTTAATCTAATTCAATGTAATTTGCTGTTAATTTGTTCAAAGAAACAACTAACCATAGTTTTATTTAATCAGTTGAAACGATATTTATTTGAAGTAATTTACCCACTTGAATTTGGTTTATTCCATCTACTTTCATTCTAACAGCTTGATGATATCTATAGTTATTATACCATAGCAATGTTGTACAAGATACTTTATTAGCTACCAAGTTGCCTAATTGAATAATTCATGTAGTGAAATATTCAGTTAAAAAATGAACACTTTTAGTACAATAAATGATAGGAAATGGTAGTGCCACCACTGTGTTGGAATTTGTAGGGATGGTTAATTCAGGCCTGATTTCTAATATTTTTCAGAATTTAATTCAATGGTTGCTGTAATCTCTTCTCGTCTGAAAGTAATTTACTTTGGGTCACTTCAGCCTTTATTTTGTCACATACCGATTTCTCCGGGACCTGATATATGAGATCTCCAACCTTAGCTGCAGTCACAATCGGGAGCACACTCACGACGTATGTATACCATGTGGCTCGGAAACGTGTGCCACGTACAAAGAAGTGTTGTGATCTTCACGTTGGTAGGACTGTACGTAGGCAGTCTGAGCTCTGATATTGTGTTAACTGATGTCACAGACGGATTGTTACGTTTTGGTAGATCAAGGGGCATTTAATTACAAGCAGTAATAATAAATGATAGTAACAGTGATGAATATATAAATATAAATGCGGACATATCAATATAACCAAAAAAATGTTCAACTTATGGAAAACCTAAAATCATTGTCTTACCAAATAACTGTTGTGGACCGAAATGCAAATATATAATAATGTTATTTAAAAAGAATGTACGAAAAATGAGTTAATTGTATATAACACAAGTATATATAATTTCACAATGAGTTACTTCCCGATGGCTGGTTTTACGTTCAATAAATCCAGAAATAATCCCACAACCAAGATAGGTTGTTAGTTTTCAAATCTTAGATATACTTCGGTGTTATAACGAGTAATTGATTAGCGTAATGTCCAGGAATACGAGCTGTAAAGATGTCTTGGATTTAGATCATGAATCGATGAATGTTATATCACCATTGAAAACCTGGAAGCACTGGACGGCCATTTCGTCCCAGTATGGGACTCCTCAGCAGTTCGCATCTACGATCCCACGCGCGGGACTCGAACCCAGGACCTTCGGTCTCGCATGTGGACGCTTAACTTCTAGGTATGGTAGGTGTATTAAGAATCTGTCAACATGATAGTAATTTAGACAAAAATCAGACGTAAGTAGGTAACACGTTTATTTAGTGAATAATAATCAACGTACCATACAAAGAGCTTACAGTGAAATTCAATATCGACCTTAACATTTTATGGACAATAACAATTGTACAAATCAAATGAACCTATCGAAAATATGAGAAGTAGCAAAAATTATTTATAAATTAGGTTTAAATTAGTCATCTTTACAAGTTTCTTATTTGTCATAGTTCACTTTCATATTAGCCATTTACAGATTAAGATAATTTTATGCAAATAAGATTTGCATTATTCAGCGTGTCATTTGTTGATTGTTTAAAATTATTGCAATTTTGTTTATGTTGTTATCAAATATGTTGTGTTTAACTCATGGTAATTATTCAGTAATCAGCTAAGTATACACAGTAGTTTAGATTGTGATTGATAAAAAGTTATTTGACAATCCAGTGTGTTACTTATTATATCTCATTTTTTCTTGTCTGCAACGTTTTCTTTTTTAGTATACTAAAGAAATGCTTGTATCGAAAATTACCGAGAAATGTTTAAAGCCTGATGATGGGAATTTTATTGATTTGTGGGTATTGACTAGGTCAGTGAAATAAACTCATTACTACTGTCCATTTGATATTTTTAACTTGAAATTTAATCACTTAAAAGTCTAATTCCATGCTCGAATTCAGCACCATATGTCTGACGAAACAATTCTCTTTGTTATAAATGTTTAATTTCTGTCCTAATACAAACTGCTTTTACTTCAAAGACTTTATATATTTAGCAGGTCATTAATAATCTTATTTTTGGATTATTTTTCTATAGTCTTCACAATATTTGTGTGTATGATTCTTAAACGTCCAATAAAATTGTACTATTAAAATTCCCTATCTCGTAGAACAGTTTGTACAACAAGGATACCTTTCATCCACTGATTTAATAATAGGATAATTTATTTTGAAGCTATGAACAAAACTAATGGGAAAATGGAGAATGATAGTAAGATAAGCGGCTTATAATACAAGATATATGTACAAAATAATTCAAGATCACTACTGTGAAGTGAGAGTACATCGTGTTCCAGGAGATAATCATTTGTTGCGAATAGCTGCTATATGATGTGCCAGTCTTAAATCATATATTTATATGGAAATGATAAGAGTTTAGTAAAACAAAAGTATTTCATCTTTATACACAAAACGTCACTTTTATTATGTGAGTTTATATTTTTTTAACACGATTACATATATCATCCACTGGGAACACATTTCCTCTATGTGATTTCCCTATTTTTTTACTCACTACAATATCATGAAATTCAACTTGTATAGTTCAACGGTAATGTCATTAACGAAATCTCTGAATGATACAGTTTAGGCCTTGAGTTTCATGGTTGTTTGACATTATACACTTAACTTATGAATTCCGAAATTCTCAGCTGATTTCATTCACTCATTAAATATCACAATATGGGATCATTTAATCTAATATTTACTCCACCTTAAACTTGATGAAAGAGGATTCGGTTAATACTAAAAATTAAACTACGTGAAGTTAATTTCTCTTGAAACATTTACCAATTGTGAATTTCGTTCTCTTTTCTATGCTTAATTGTCTTACCGCTTCATTGTTCTATGCTTTTTGATGTTAGAATTAATCATTGGGATCATGAAATAGAGACCACTGTTTGTTTAACCGATAAATATTTAATGCTTATAAGCTTTAATTTTATCAATGAAGATTGTACTTCAAAACGTGTTCTGTTACAATCCATTAAAACCATACGTGTTGGAAATTTAATTCAACCAAATTGGTCTGCATTACCGTAAGTTATTGTTATCTCGATTGCTAAAAATTACTGTTTTCTGGATTTGTGGTGTATGCTACTTATGCTCACAGATATGAGTAGTATGTGTCACCGGTACGTATATATGTATATCCATTATTAAAGACTGATTGTTTTATGATTCACATGGTTTATTCAATAACTAGAAAAACTAAACTATTAAAGTTTTGGGTAAGTTTTGAGAGATTCATTAAGTCTTAAGGTATATGTGTGGAGAGAATGCGTGGATCAGGCGTTCCAATGACGGATGATCCATAGCTAGGACGACTGCTGATTATACATCTTGATGAAAACATTGTGATTGTGTAGTTCCTCGTGTTTCTCGGTCACCAGCTCACTGTCTGGACGATTGCCGGCGAGCTGAGTTTGGGAAAACCGTCTACACGATTGTGCAGTTCCACTGAAAAGCCTGACTTCTGAGAGCCTCCATTAATGTTTTCAACAAGGAAACGAAGATGAAAAGGTGTGTTGTTATAAGTTTCAAATATTTCAAAGGATGTGTGGCGCATATATATTGGCGCTCTCTTGTACCAATGTTTAGGTGTTCAAATAAATAAATAAATAAATAAATTTCACAGGATGTATTAATTTGCTCTAAACTTTGTGTAATGAAAATTTTATGACCTCAGGTCACGGATTTATTTGACAGGTTTCATACTACTTAAGTCATATAATGACATCGTGATTATTGTTTGATTTTATTGATAGGTATCCATTCTTAACAACACATGCATGTATATTTAATCAAGATCACATTATAAAGTCCCTAAATGGGACGAAACAGCTGCGTAGCGATTCCTAGTATTTAAAATTTGTCTACTATTTCCCACACATATTCAAACAGTTTGAAACTCCTCGAAAATATTGACTTAAACCTCTAAGAGGTTTCTAAATTTGTCCATCACACAAACTTTGGAATATTTCTGATGATGATCACTATTTTCCCGTAAATAAGATTAAGGTTATTAAATCAATTCGGGTTTATTTCACAAAGAAGAGATCCAGGGCTTCCTTCCAACTGACTCCAACCATCTAGATGCGTATATGCGTATATTTTTATCGTATAATTGTTAAATAAATAAACTGTTCATATTCATGTCCCTCTTATTATGAGCTTTATTTTGACCTATGAACTATCATTATACGATTTACCATTCTTGAATTATGCCCAGTCTATTAATTCCTACCTCCCACATTCACAGCCACATTTGGCCAAATCTTGTATAAATGTTGCTTTCTATTTTATGGTACAATGTGGTCTGTCTGGCTGGTATGTAAACCCAGTATGCTTGAAATAAATGATTCATATTGCAGAGGCTGAGGTTGGTGTTCTGGATTTAACTGGCTGGGCTAGACAGATAACAGGACCAATCAGGACTCTAGACTGCTCGTACGGGTTTTGCGCGTCATTGGTCCGATCGATAATTCACTGCTCTCTAATTGGCGGTATCATTACATTATACATTAGCAGGACACACAGACTACAAGTTATAACAAATCTTCAGATTAGTATGTGGGATTCTACCATGTTTGATTCTTGGTCAGACCTAAGTTATAATTCAGTTATCGACTGGTCTGTGTGAAACTCTAGACTAATCATAGGGAATGAAGTAGCTGGGTGCGCTGACCATCTGACGCATCTTAAAAGTCTCATCAACTCTGATGATATAGTCCCTAATGAAATCACGGCACAGATTCAAAAAGCTCGCTTGGCTTCTTACCATTTTGCGTCAGTCGTGTCGTCGGAAAGATACCCATCTGCTTAGTAAAGGATGAGTATAATGTACACTTCACTCCACGTTACCATATAGCGATAAAAAGTAGCTTATGAAAGTAGAGAAGATGCATAAATCCAAGGTTTTCGATCATAGGTGAATTTCAAGCATTGTTTGCACATTGTGAAATAACCGAGTAAACAACGCTGAGGTTAGGCGTACAGTACTAAGAAAAGGAGGCGAATTGGTCATTGAAACCACAAATCCTCATCAATCGAAGTGGCTGAGACGTATTATGTATCCACAACCACCGCCTACCTGAAAGTACAATGTTGGCTGCAGTCGGAGTAATCTGAAAGAAAGATTACAGCTCCCAACTTAAAACGTGAACGATGTCGGTGGATGCGAAATTTTTCCTGACGGTAGCTTCTACCCTGATTCGGTGGTCAGGTTTACATATGATGATCACCTAGTCGAGCTATATTTATTATATTTATTTAAACACATAAACATTGGTACAATGAGGCACCAAATAGATATGCGCCACATAAATCATTCGGTTTGTGTAAGGGCTGGAATAATCTCCGGGTACCCAAACCGAAACAGGTGGTTTTCATAGGGGGCCACACACGGAGCCTAAAGGTCTCATCCACAAGGCAGTGGAGAAACGTCAGAAAATGCAGTCCCATGGTAGACGGTGACCAACAATATGTTCTTGCGCCATTTGTTCCTTCAGGATGCTGGAGCCCATGTGCACCATTGGTTTGGAATCAGGGTTTTCCATCTCCCTTAGGTGGACTCTCCGTGTCCACCAACCCGGTTAAAGCTCCGGACATTCGCTTTTCGTTTTCTTAATTTTGTAAACATAACCCGCCTTGACAAGGCAGTGAGTAGGACTTCCCTAGCAGTTGTATGCACGTGGCCATATGAGAGCATTTCGAGAGGGAGGGCTGACTCAACACACTCGGCCGTACCATGGCATTTTGGGGCAATTTTAAAGTACCCACAGCTATGTTGACTGAGAAACTCGTTCCTTTCTGTCCTATCATACAAGAGCGGTCGATTGGAAAGCAACTAGACCAAAAACAGACAACTTGGGGTAGGAAAGCAGTCTTACTGCTGACCATACGGAATTGTGATGACCGTAAGGTGTTCCCCTCGGGCAACTAGCATATGCAACGATTCTAGTTTCCTGTAACGGAAGAAAGGCCTTAGACATGGAGTGCTTCAGCACTACGTGGTTTGGGTCCACGCAGTTATCACGACCAATGATTAAGTACTTTAAATGATATTGCTCTAAACTGATCACAGTGACACAGATCTTTTCACTCTTTGTCTTCATCTAATTTTTGAGCCTCCATAATATTTCGTACTTTTTAATTCATCCTTTCTTTTTGAACCATATTTTTCAAGATTGAATCTCCCTCACTATCACTGATACCAATATTATTTCGTTTCTTTTCCCATCTTGGTGCTGATGTGGTATTAGAATTTGGGTTATTAAAAATTTTTGCTAGGTTATATACGATTATTACTGACTGATTATTTCGTTTGACAATATTATCAATGAAAGATACTTAGGTGTTCACACTCGTTTTCAATAACAACTGCTCACTTAGACATTATTCCGATCCATATCAAACTGAGTTTTACCGATTCACTATCTTTTAGGCTGATCGACTACAGGATTTGAATAAAGACCAAATTAGCGACTCAATTCTTATCAGTCAGTAATGTTCAGATTTCCATTATGAAAGTTTATTCGAATAAACTATATTAACAAACTTTTAACATTTTTTGGATTTTTACTAAACAAATATATAACTACTTGAAATTTTCCTTGTTAACCAGTCATGTTGCGCTTGTTACAGTCTGTGATTCTGTTGAAGATTTGAAATAATAAAATTGTGTCATCGAACGACAAGTTAACTTCTCTAAATATTCAAGCTTTTTTAAAACTTAAAACTAACCACACTTCAACTGAACGATTAGTGATTTTATTGTCTATTCCACTATAAATTTTTGACACCGTATAAACCTATCAGTATTATGAAGTCTATACTGCCAATATGATGTCATTAGATTATTGGTATTAGTAAACTACATTGCTTAGTAAAAAAATCTATTCACTGCTCATTGATTAACATAAAGTCAACTATTCTGAGTTACAACATTACTAATCGTCTCATGTATTGTTTAGTGATTTGTATAACAACACCAGACAGTGTGTGCATACACTTAGACCATAGTTTGTACTCCATGTACTTATCATATTTTGCTTAGTTTACATTGACATTTGTTTAATTAATTTATGTAACTCATTAAGTAATTACAGTATTTTTGTCCTAAGCTAGTGATAGTACCTGGCTACGCGAATCGAAATAGATTGAATATTGCTTGAAACTTTGTGACCACGTGGTTGAAAGTCTAGTGTTCGAACCAGTAACCCCCACTGCTTCATATTAGATTGACGAATAAATAATTGGATTGACCAACCATTATTGATTGACTTTGAACTAAAACCATGAGTCTACAGTTTCATCAGTAAATAATCCTAACATTTTCATTGCTTGTTTACTTTCCATTTTATTTACACATCTAACTTATATGCTGAGAATCTCATATTGTACTAAACATATAATATTAATTAAGACGATTATTATTACTATTATTATTGTTTGCAAGCATGATTGCCAAGGTTTAACTTGATAATTTCAAATAAATTGAGCATCCGGTATAATGTTAATAACGATATATTTGCGAAATACCAATTAATAGAAAATTGAATTTCTGATGTTTCGTGACTTAGTGTAAGCGACTTCTTCGGAGAATAAAAATAAATAAACTGATTAAATTAACACAAATTTAAATGGTACTAAGAAAAGAAAGCAGAATATTTTTATTACAATTAAAGTAGATCTGATCATATGAATGACATGTCATTTAGATCAAGGTGCCTTTTACGTATGACCTACTTGTGTGTGTATGTTTGTTGGCTTGAAAATTTGGATATTTTTTAGTATAGAAATCTAATTTTTTACTCATTGGGATTTTACAAATATATTATTCCCATTATTTATTGTTATTATTATCCGCAGCCAGCGTAACTATGGTGGTGTTCAAATAATTTGGGGTGAATTGGAACAAACAAAATGGATTGATCGTTGGAATCCAATATCTCAAGATGTTCCAATGGTTATTTTACATCATCATCCTTGTTTTTATTCACCGGATCCATTGTCAGACAAAGATATGTACAACTGTGATCTAGCCATTTCAGCTATTTCTAAGTCTTTGTCTAAATATGACATTCAAGTTAGTTTAATTGTGTTTGTACCTTTATCAACAAAAACAGATCAAATTTTATTTTATGTACTAATATATTTAATAAATGTAAACGAGATTATAAATTTTAATTTTGAGTTTTTGGAAATCAAATATTGTTGATGAAAACATCTTTAATTCAAGTGGACAGATTACATAAATATATTTGTTTGTCATCATACATAATAATTAATTCTTCATTTAGTCACATATATGTCAGTAAGAAAAATGCTAAGTGTATGGAAAATAGGTATGTTTCTAATCATAAATAGATTTTTTGTACATTTTCGGTGAAATTTTTCTTCATTCGGAGTTCATTTAAAACACTGTATTCACCTCTATGAATGTATATTATTTTACCATTTTAAAGCCTACAATTAATCCAATGATAATATTTCAATATATATCACATAACCTCAACATTATTCTAATGAACTTTACATCTTATGGATACTTTACACTATTTACAACTATTCATGTTCAGTTCTCTATAAAACTTAGATTATTCGAAATGTAATCAACTAAAAATGATCAGATATAAAGTTTATTATCTTTGATACACCGTGGCTTTTAACATTGCAATTATCTGTTTTTATCATAATTGAATCTTCTGATTTGAAATACTAAAATTATGCTATAAAAAGACGACATTATTTAAGATCAATATTTTTTGTAGTAATTCATTACAATTTTTGACCAGGCTGTGACTAGTACGAACTTTCGTTCAGTGTGACAATTATATTCCTTGTATTAATTCAAGTAATTGTTGAGTCGGCTTCCGGAGAACTTCAACGGAGCCTCCAGAGGCCCAAAAGAAGCTGAAGGGTCCTAGACAATCAGAGTATGATGGAACGTTCTAGAATTCCAACGTGGCGTGCTACTATTGGTCGGTAGCATAATATGTCGTTAACGGATTGGCTAAAATATGTTGATTTAACAGACGCCAACATCTATAAATACCTATGATTTTCTGTACAAAAATGAACCTTAGGGTAAAGTATTTTCTCTCATACTTGCATCTTCTCTCTGGTGTTCAAGTCGCTGTGTAGTTCTAGACTGCGGGTTACCAGAATAGCTTAGAAAAACGAATATAGCGTTCAGTCGACAAGACTTATCAGTAATCTATATTTAGTGTATGTTTTTACAGTGGATCTACTTATTTCTCCTTATGTAATATTATTATCAATTTATAAATGATTATATTTAATGGTTACTCATCAGTTGCTTACAAACAAATATGTTTTAGAATTTCACATTGAGGTAAAATATAATGTAAAACAATTGACATAGGTGAATGAAAAGTATTGGACTGACAAAGGTTATCAATAATAACTACATATATTGTAATCTTTCATACAATGGTCTATTATATCCTTTGTTAAGTAATTCACAAATAGTTTTAGTAATTCTTTGGTCTTGTACAACATCATATATAGCAAAACTATAATTTACGGACGAACTGATTAGATTTAAGATACCAGGTCTTGGATTTTGGCGCAAAATTCATTCACTCATTCGGCTAAATATCATTTCGGCATTATAGCTGATGTCAGTTCGTGATGAAAAAATTAAATTAATCAACTGTATATGCAAATTCCTCACACTAAGTTATAACCCTGATTTAACCCTAGTAGGAAGGTCATTTTAGCATTGCTCAAAGGTCGTCCATAAACTATAGTCTCACCGCTCTTTGAATGTCGCGCCTTTTTCCCCAACTCATTTGCATCCGGTGTTTCTCTGTTGAACTGTTGTGTATTATATCTATCTAGTCCTGTATAGAGAAATCTTACAGGTCTATAGCGTAGCAATTTATAAATCATAAAATACTTATACATACATACCTATATACTGTACAGTCATTACTTACATTTATCAATCCTTTATAAGTGATAGAAAGTCTAGAATAGAAACTGGTCAACTGTTGTAGAATAGCTCTCCTTTCACTTAGTTCTTAGTTCAACAATATTTGCTAATAAATATTAGCTGATGAATAAGTTATTCGAATTGCTTTTTGCGATCCTGATTACACTCCATGCAGTTCCATTATCTTTTTTAATACCATCTCATTGAGTTAATATATTTTGACAACTTGAAACGATATATAATTATCAGTATAGGATTGTGGAGAGTGTTAAGCTTCATTAAAATCATGAATCAATCAATATTGGATCACTATTGAAAATCTGGAAGCACTGCACGGTCGTTTTGCTCTAGTATGTAGCTCTAACAGTGCGCATACACGATCTCGCACACAAGAATCAAATCTTTAGTCTTACATGCGAATGCTCAGTCTCCGATCTGTAATTACGCTATATCTTCTTGTCTGGCTGACTGACTTATTTTGAGTTTAAAAATGCGTAAATTACTGATATTTTATAAACTAATTAAAAAGTCAATATCTTAGTTATTTATCGCTGTGCGTGTGTCTCTACTCTTTACTTTGTTGAACCAGCATAATGTTCCTCTCTCTCTCTCTCTTTTGTTTATTTCTTCATTGTATTTCAGGTTGAATATGCCAATATTCATTTAAATTCACATATCAATTTCTTTACAATTATTTACAATCAAAGTAATCTAGGTTTTTGCAAAGATCGAAATGGTGTTAGTTTTTAAATCCAAACAAAAATAAAATAGACAAAAAATAATCATATGCTTATTGTTTTATTTTCTATGCATAATTTTTATGCTGAACAATTTCTATAGAAATACTCTATTCACTTACTTTTATTCACCTACTACAATTGATACACATTTCAATAATCATAATCACTTGAGCACATAAATCAATAATACAATGTTTACATGATTATATATTCTTATTCATGTGTATACTGTTGTTTCAAGTTAATCAATTGATTAATTCCATGTTACTAATCCAATAGTTTTACTGTTTTACTCTGTTTCTTTTTTTTTTTCCTTTTTTTTCTACTCAAAAAAATTAATTCATTCATTGTTAGTTTTAAATGTTTACATGTAGAAAATGCTTTAATATTTTTAAATGTTTGTTTTTACTATTCAAAGTTGATTCATTTAATTTTTGTTTTATTCTGCCATTATATTGTGATCAATTTTACAGATTGTGTTTCTTTTTTAAAAAAAAAAACTCACCTACACCATTAAAACACTCATTTTGTACTCTACACACACACACACAGATTCATTCGATATAATGGTTACTTTCAAAAGATCACTGTAATTTAACCATTACATATTCATTTTTTTCGTTTTCATTATTCAGTTCACTTTTCTTCCTTTTTGTAACATTGATGATAATAAATACTAGTAGTAATATTTTTTTTACGGAGTTTTGTTCTTTGAGCTGAATGGTCTGTGAAAGTCACACTGAACTCGGTGAACTTGTTAACATCTGGAAAGAAGGATGTGTTCAAGTTTTATAGTGGTGTTTGTGCAGACGTCCGATGCTTCGTTCGCTTCAGTTTTTTTCTTGGGTAGTACCTGGTGGTGATGTGAGGCTGTCGACTCCTTTCTTTATTCTGACGTCTTCTGTAGACCTATTGACGACTTTATGTATGCAGATGTGGTTCCCGTTATGTAATCCGGCGAAACCCATGTACCTTTGCGTATACGTCTGTGGGCGAAAATGGTGTCACTTAAAACCGTTTTAATGAAAGTGAAGTGTCGTTGTAGTTATGTATGAATCTGAATTCAGTGATCCATTTGGTCCGCTATCTGGTCCTGCTTCTTTGCAATCCTTGATTTTTCTGATGGTCAAGTTGATTTCTTCTGTTGTTGATGGGTATAATGTACAGGGTGATGTTAGTGTACCAATTTATATGTCCAGTGGGTTCTGTAGTGTTTGTCTCTTCAAGTACTTGATGTGGTTCTCGGTTACATGATCCGATGAAACCCATGTACCTTTGCGTATACGTCTGTGGGCGAAAATTGTGTCACCTAAAACCGTGTTAATGAAAGTGAATAGATCTGTCAGTCTCTCACCATTCTCGTTTCTCTCTCAGTCCATATCATCCGATGATGCGTCCACACCCGATGTTGGCGTTCAGATTTCCCACCAGAGTGGTGTGAATTTTTCGTGAACAGTTCTCTACAATCAACTACAGCCTCTCATGAAACCGATTGTACTCGTGTTCACTTTTATCAATTACGGGTGCGTGACACTGGATGATGCTCATAGTGATGCTATCATTCGTTCTTCTGAAGGATCACTTGATGGTCGTGAAGCCATGAGATTGTCAATCCGTAAGCGACTCTCGTATTTGTGTAGAGAGTGTCAGTGGGGTTTGTTGTGTTTGTTGGGCATTTGCTTTTCTGTGATGAGAATACAATGACAACTTTACTGAAGTCAGTCTTTTCTATCAAGCTTGTGTTCAACGGACTTAATTTACTGAGAACACGACCAGGTTGTATGTTCTCATTAGTGTGGCTATTTGGAAGACCCTATCGATCTTCCATATGTCTATATTAATTGTTGCAGTGGTTGTCATGATTCCTTCCGATAATGTTTGTATATCAGTTTCGTGACTTCCTAAGAATCTCAGATTTTTCTGTGAGGCTTCACAACTACTCAATATAAAGATTTGAACTTTCAGCACAGAGTTTAAATGACATCTATGTTTAGTGTTCTTTCATTCGGTATGGGGTCGCTAATACTACACCTAAATCTTCTTTATCTCGGCTTAGGACCAGCAGTAACTTTAGAAAAGGCTGGTTGCAGACAAAGTCCTTAGTCTTAATACTTCTGTAAATATTTTTTTTAATTTTCAAATAGTTTGCTTATTAACATTAGAAATGATGATGATGTGATTAGCTGCAATCTCAGCATTTAATTTAATCTCAGTAATATGTTATACGTTTTTCACATTATAATCAGTAACCCATATAAAGAAAAGAAATCTACATGAATTATGTTTACATGCATGTTTATTGATATTTATATCAATAGAAATAAGGAAGAATGTACATCAGGATTTTCATTCACAGTTTCTAGTCTTGTAGACAGTGTAATAAGAAAACATGTTGTTTTAAATGTTGGTTCATACAAATATGAATTTTTTAAATCACCTATAAAATTCTAACAAGTACTTTGTGTAAGAAAAATTACACTTACTAGCTGATATTAGCATCAATTTATATATGGTACAACTTTGTTCTTATATGATTGATAAGTAAATGCCTTACACTATCTGTTTAATTAACTTTATAGGGCTCACTTTTCTGGTTGAACTTTGAAATGTTTGTCTTGAAGTTAGTCAGTCGTCAGTCAACAGATATTATTTAATAAGGTTGTCTGAAAAGCCATTAGAATAAAGAGCCATCAGTCATTTTAACAAAGCTCACTCACAACTTTACATAAGTTTGTACCGATAACGTTCCGGCCTTACAACAGGTAAAATACTGTTGAACGCCATTAAATCAAAGTATGATAATTATTAATAGTAAATTCTATTCATTGGATAACCTAGGTTCAATGTTATCAGTGTGTTTTCATCTTCCTTCCAACTTCATAGTGCACAAAATTCATAGCTATACATTAGATTAAAACTTATGTGAAGTTGATATTATAGACTTAAGTTTTGGATTGCTACTCTAAAGATAATTTGCTTACTGGATAATCTATAGGTTGGGCTTTTAATCCACTATATAGTTATAGTTGTACATTGTTGGGAAATCTCAAATCAGCTCAAGACAACTGATTCATAATATTTATTCAACTGATAATATTTCTGAAAAAAATAAACCATCTTTCAATTTAAATTCACATGGTATTGTTCACTTGAATCTCCCCATTGATATTTAGGACTGTAATTGTGATCAATCTCTTATTAGCAAATGTGCATACTTTGTGTATTGTTTCGATATTGCCTTAATCCATAAGCATTCGAAACAAAGATGGTTAGTGGTTAGCAGTGGAATCCAGTACGTGCTTCTCGCCCTATTTAAGACTCACCACTATCCATCTTTGCTTATCATCTTTAAATTTTACTAATCCTTTTTTGGATGACAATCATTAATTTACTTCTAAATTGATAAACTGAATAATAAAAATTTGTATAAAATAAACAGTTTTTATCAAAATTCACCACATAATTTTGTGTGGTACTAATGAACAGTTTATTAGTAGTATAGATGAGAGATTTTTCAAAATTCTTATACCAGCTCTATTAAAATCCAATTCAAATACCAATGACAAATATAGTGATTTATTTTAAATAAAATTGTACATGACTAATTATGTAAATATTCGTGATTGATAAATTATTCTTCTTTCAAAAGAATGTTAAATATTACCGTCTTAAATTATTGATTGTTTACTATTAATTATGACTGAGAAACCACATTCAATGTGAATTGATCAATTAAATTAGTTTGGAATTTATCAGAATGGGTTTTGTGGAGATTTTAGAAATTTTACTGGTTGAAATCATGAGTCAATTGAACTTAGACCACCATGGAAAACCGGGAAGCACTGGATGGCCGTTTCGTTATGAGATAGGAACTCACTAAAGACAATGGTGTACGGTGGTGCAACTTCGTGGATTGGTTGAAGTTAGACATTAACACCGTTGGATGCCGGCTCAGTTATCTAGTTGGTTAAGCGCCTGGCGCGAGACTGACAGGTCCTGGGTTTGAATCTCGTGGGGGCGGGATCGTGGATGCGCACTGTTGAGGAGTCCCATACTAGGACGAAACGGCCGTCCAGTGCTTCCAGGTTTTCTATGGTGGTCTAGCTTCAATTGACTCATAGTTTGTAATTTGTTTGATTGATATGTTAATAATTGTGTATTATTCAAAACTATCATTCATTAAACGAATAAAGTTATAATTATTAATAGAATAGGAAGAAAAAATCAATTTTTAAAAGAACTACAATAGATTTGTGTAAACATGAATGAGAAAGTGACAACAATGAGTAGACAGTTCCAAATTGATTGTGGAGTGGTCGGTATTGGATATACTTCTTTAACTTCATATATTGCTCCGCCCTGTTAACCGTTATTAGGTAGTGCCCAATGGTGTATAAATCAGAAGACGAATAAGGAGCGTTGATTACATTTATTGTCGCACCACACACAGATCACCAAAACTATAGGCACACGAAACAAAAGTGGTATGTGAGTGCCGAAGAGCAAGCGAATGAGTGAGCGAGTCGAATAAATAGGATTTATATATATATATATATATATATATATATATATATATATATATATATATATATATATATATATATATATATATATATATATACAGAAAAATGAATGCGTCATCGAACCATTTAAGCGACTAACATTAAAGCTAGCAGAATGATTATATATATAGGTGGTAAGCAATTCTTAACACATACATGTTCAATGGTATGGATAAGTTGTTGTTGTACGACGGACTCTATCTGTTAAATAAATTAATAAAAGGGCTTAACCAAATTAAATACGAACAAACTCAAATGTACATGAGCTGTTATAAGTTAGATCTAGAACAGGCGATTTAAAAAATTTCTGTTTAATACTACTTCAATTCCAGAAAGTTCTTATCAAGAATCTTTTATAAAAATAAATCCCTATACAATAAATAGTCAAGTTTTTGTTATGACTTGTGGGCCTTGTGCCCTATTATTATGTAACGTGATGATACAGCTA